CGAATGCGATTTGAATACGCGCTGTTTAGCACTTGTGATACATTTTTAAAAGCCGGTGAATATATATAATATTCAAATGTATATCGAAATATCGGAAATGTGTTTAAAAATCGTATCACCGTTATCGAAAAAAATTCTATCGCGATATATATTGATATCGAATTATTGTCCAGACCTACATAAAGGTCTAAGAACTGGCGTGAGAACTAGTCTCCTAATGTGTGACACCACTAAAGAATTTTAAAAATTGCACACAGTGGCACACCGGTGATGTGATCTTGAGTCCTTGGCTTTTGCCACCTTTGTGGTCTGTCATTGTTAAGTTCAGTCAGCAGGCTCATGTTTCAGTATCATTCATGCTCCCAGGGCCGATCAAATTGCTTAGTCTCAGAGTACGTGAGCATTTCTGGAAGTTTCTGGGCACCTTTAGTGGTAGCTCTTCCATGGTGGAGTTTCTCCTTTGTAAACCTGGATGATATGATGAACCCTACTGCTGCACCCCTGCCATCCATCTGGAAAGATCCTAAGCATGAAGACACAGCTACTGCTTTGTAGCAGTTAGTCTGAACCTGAAAGGCAGGGCTTTAATAATGCTTGTTTTGTTAAATTCCGAACTTTCCAGTAGGTGGACTTCTGAACTCGTAAAGAAAAATATTACACACACCTCCGATCCCTTCGTCTGTGTGAAGGTGCTTTGTGGTCCATCCATAGGGTCCTCACTCCGGAGGACCCTCACTCCGCCCCAAGTACGACTTGACTTCCTTTAAACTAGTGCAGTTTCAGTTCCTCAGAGAAGACTAGGGTACATTTAGAGGAGAAAGGGGGCAACATTTTGGAATGGACTCATGCAGGATAAGGACATGCTAGTATCTCACAGCATTACTAGTCTGTTTTACATTATATTCATTCTATATATTATTCTGTGATATGAAATGACCTTACAAGGCAGGGATAGCTGATGCAGATCTACATCGCCTCCGTGATTTAATTATCTTTCCATAGCCTCTCTATGTTGAAATCTGTTTGGCACTGGAGCTCTGACTTCTCACTGGTTAATGAAGGGTCTTCGCTGTGAATGTCGCGCATGACACTGGGCCCAGTGCTGGCTATGGCTGCCGAACAGATGTTTCAAATTAGCCTGTGGGGGAGTAAAATATGCCCACATACCCAGAATCATCACTTGGATAAGGTTTGCCTGACTGCATTGAGTCACTGACAGAAAGCTATTTTTAAATAGAAATACAAAATCAGCAGATAATCAATTTCATTTATCAATTCTTTTTAAATTAATGCAAGTATTCAAGACAACCTCTATAATAATCCTAAATCTGTAATAAATTCTTTATGAATTCACCATAGTCAAATGATCTATGACTGAGATGTCGTTAATAGCAATTGCGCAGTTGATCTATGAATCCCTGCAAACAAAAGCTCTGGGTTATAATAACATGGTTATTGTGAGCTTTGGGGGAGCCGGTTTCATTACCCATAAGTCTGTGGGTCAGGCTAACAGTTTTGCATACCGGGTGCCAATGTTCAGGCCTTTGTATGAATGGCTACATGATTTTAAGGGTTTTATTATCATCAAGGTAATGACTGCCATTTCTTTGTACAATGTAATAACTGGCAGCTACTGGGGACCTGACAAAGGTTACTCGATTATTTGTAATGTATCATTATATGCAATTACCCGGAGCATTATTAGTGTGCGGGTCTTTTACCTGATCGTTATTTTGCATTATTTTGGTTGTGAAGAGCCCCGACCAGTGCTGCAAGCCATGGGCAGGTGCATGCTGGTAGCTCACATCCTGCTTATTGTTCTTTCCCCACAGGCCAGACAGCACTGCACATCGCCATCGAGAGGCGCTGCAAGCAGTATGTGGACCTACTAGTGGCGAAAGGGGCAGATGTCCACGCCCAAGCCAGGGGGCGGTTCTTCCAGCCCAGGGACGAGGGTGGCTATTTCTACTTTGGTAAGGCAGAAGCCAAGGCCTACTTTGGTAAGGCAGAACACAAGGTCTACTTTGGTAAGGCAGAACACAAGGCCTACTTTGGTAAGGCAGAACCCAAGGCCTAACGCACCGATCCGCCTGGCTGTATCTCTTTCGATACTGGGTATTTCATCTTGAAGCCCCTTATTCTGACCTTCGTCGCGTTCCAGACTTACGATCTTTATTCCATAGGCTCTTTTTTCCGATACCAAAGTGGTAAGGCGAAGCTAAGGCAGGCCAGGAAAGCTCCACCCGCCGGCTGACGCCACACGCCTTACAGAAAAAAAACAAGCAGGGGCTGAATGGTCTTCACTGGCAGACTTTTAATCCAGTCACTTCAAACAGAACAGAGAGTTTCATTGTTTCACAACGTTCCTAAAAAAACACCACAGACAAACTAGCCATATTCTACTAAAAATGTCTATTTTTAGGTTTCACTTTAATACCTGTGTTGTTGGGGTTAGTGTGGCTGTGATTGTGTCGCCTTGTTTCCATGGTGTTTAGACTTCTTTCCCGTATTAATGAGGTAATGTAGCAGAGCATCGAAGGGTGATTTCAGTAAAATCCCCCCCCTGCCCTACTCACCCACAGACATCTATAAAGAACATTTACTTTCTACATTTAGTGTGGTTATGTAGTAATATGTCATAGAAATAGCATAGTTGTAAGAAAATGTTAGATTAACTATAGTTATAAAACATAATATCTACTGATTTATATGATTTTCACAGAATTCATAGAATTTTACAAACTTATCAGGAAAACCTGACAGATGTAGCATGTGGATGAATCACAGTGCAGTCATACTTAATGCAGCAGTTGCCCAGAACACACTCCCTAAAACTGGCCAGTGGCTCAGTGGGCTAAGCCTCTGTGCCTCTGATTGGACGGTTGCTGGTTCAAACCTGGCCTTGGCAGAATAGTCTGTGAGCCTTTAGGAAAGGAACTTAATGCCCAGCTTGGCTGCCCTTTGCTTGGCAAGCGTGTGCTAACCTGTATATCTGTGTGTGGTGCCATGTTGAGCTGGGTTACCCCTTTTCTTCTCCTACATCTTCCCAAATACTGAGGGATGTGTCTGCTCTCATGAGACTGAAAGGAAAGGCCGTTTGAGGAAAGTTACTTAAGTAAAACATTGACCTAAAATTGGAAGGTAAAGTCACACACTCTTTGCTGAAAAGCTCCTCTGTTAAAAAGTTGGAAAAATTCTTAGACCAGGATACCTAACTCCTGAACACCAGCCAAATGGTCGTACAATCTGTCGCTTGACTCCACACTGCCCTCTCCTGGCGAGAGGGTTCAGCACATTTGTTTTATATTTTTGGAAATCACCTATAAGCATGGGGTGGTGGGTGTAAATCTGATTACAAGATAAAATGTTCTAGATTACTCATAAATGCCAAATGATATGTGAAAGAGAACAGAAAACATAATAGGTTAAATAATTTTTCATATTTATCTACAAATACCAGGGATGCTAACTTCTGTAATATTTGACTTGTGGGAAATGGTGAAACTCACTGTATTGAACCACACTCATTATTAATCCATCTACTAAAATACTTAAGCAAACGACACCTCTGTGAGCTCAGTCACACCTCACAAACAGTCAGATGGAGAGATGCCACAGTTTGTCATCACGCCGCTTTTGAGTCTCTAAGTTAAGTGTTATGTTTTAGCTCACTACAGAACTTGTTTGCAGTAGGGTGGACCGCGGCTGTCGGATCATGAGGAAATCCGACCCAGACAGTCTGTAACACGGTGAGGGGAGCGGAGACTGATGGAAGGGATGGGGGGTGGGGTGACGTGCAGTGTCACGCGTCTGCCGCGAAAGCGGGGGTCGGGGTATGGTGCGCATACCAGCGAGAGGCCGACCGCGCCGAATGATCTGTCACCCATGGCAACACTTCGGGGTGCATCTACTTCGCCTAGCAGCCAGTCAGAGCGCCGCGTTCACACAGACGTGTCTGTCTCTGACATCCACAGGCTCCGCTTAGGGATTGCAGACTTGCAGGAAGCTTATTATTCATTCTCGCAAGTTCTCGCGCACTACTCACTGCAGCTGGTCGCTGATGACACACGGCCTTCCCAGACGTATCACCTTTAAGCACAGGGGGGCGGTGGTGGAAATGCATTCTCAGAACCTAAAAAATATCCATCCATCCATCCATCCATCTAAAATCTATCACAAGTAACATTTTAATTATGGCAAATAAACTGTTACATTGTAGTGTGTGTGTGTGTGTGTACATGCGTGTCT